GACCTCACCCACACATTCTCACATCAATTCCCTCTTCTTTCTCCAACGTCACTTCCGCTTCCCCATTAGACTCATCGGACCATTATCTCATTTCATTGCTGGCTCATTTCTTTTGCCCCATTACACCACATGACTCCAGAGGAACCTTTTGGCGTTACGAATCACTATCAGGGTTGCTTTTCATGACATTCTGGTTATCTTGCCACCGATCTCCTACTGATCTCTTCATGGGGTTCTGTAAACAATGTGTGTTCCAATGTTTCAAAACGTCTCTCTTAAACATGCCCCTTATTCTTTGCAGTTGATTTTTGACTTCCTGCCCCTTCGTTCCACAAATTCTGTCTCCCTCCTAAATTTATCCCTAAATTCTTCTCTCTGTTGGTCCCTTGTTATTTCCACACTTGCTTCTCGCGATGCACGCAAAGTCAGTTTTTTTCTGTTCCGTGCAAAGTGCTTCCTTACACCGAAACACCTTTTATACTAATCTCCAATCCATTCGGTGCTCGAATACTGCAGTCAAGTATGGAATAGAACTTCTCATTCCACTCTTTCTCTCTTTGACAGTGTCTCGCGTCAGGCCATCCGGCTGATCGACGAACTGTCTTTAACTTCCGAACCTGCAGTCGCTTTCCCATCGCCGGCCAGTTATTTCTTTATCTCTTTTCGGTCGTTACTTTTTTTGTTTCATCCTCTTCTGAACTCACTTCAGCGGTTCCCCTCCCCTTGACCTTTTCTCATGCATCTCGTTCTCAGACAAGCATCACCCTTATCAGGTTTCTGTCTCCAGATGTTGAACCTCTATTTTCCATTCTTCTTCTTTTCCTAGGACTGCGACATTGTAAAACATTCTTCCTATCTCCGTGTTTCCCAGCTCTTATAATCGTACTCTTTTGAAAAGCAGGATTAACAAATTGATTCTCATTTGAATGTTTCCCCACGTCCGTTCCCCTCCCCTTCCTTACAGTATGTCATTGACTATGGGGTTTAGCCCTTTTTGCTTCAAATTACTTTTTGTGTAATAAACAAATTTTCAACTGGATTCTCCCTTCTATATATTTTTTTCAATAAAATATTAAAAGGCTATTCTTTCGGTCTTGATGTGATTCAAATTATCACTGTTGATTCGCTACTTTTATCTTTTCTTTTCGTGGTTTATCTCCCCCCCCCCTTGATCAGGTGCCATTGAATCTGTTTATTGGCAACACAATCCCTATCATACTGCTCTCCACGCAGCTGATGTGACACAAGCAACCCACTGCTTTATTTCACAACCCAAGGTCAGTTTCCGCTATTCTTGCTCGTTCTTCCCACTGTTCTGTGACATTCGATTGCAGTTTGCACTGGGGAGGGGTTTTCCGCATTCTTGTGTCACACGTAATCTATTGGACAGTAGTAATTGACAGATCTACCACCATCACTGTATGCTCTCACGAGATCTTTGGCGTTTCACCACTCTCAGTCGATTGGGGTTTTGTGTGTGCTGTCTTTCACAAATCTGTGAAATCGTCAAACTGCTGTTATGTGATTCGCTGCCGTACAGTTCTGTTAAAATGGGGGCTGTCCCGTTCGGGGCTCTCAGTTGCCATATTTCCATAGCATTTCCGCGCATGCATAAATTCACAATGTCCTCTACCCGTTTGATCCTGTGCGGACTCTCGCACGTCCTTAGAATTCGCTAATCAGATCGTACTCGCATTCGCATCCGTTCGGGATTTGTACGTGTTCCCTTATCTGTCAAGGTCGTTTAAGGTCACCACATTCTATTATTATGCTTGTGTCTAATTGATCTCGGAGCATTGCGAATGACCGTGTGTGTGTGTGGGTTTTCTGTGGGGACAACAATCTGTTTGGGGAACAGTGGGCAAGGGCGGAGAGACAGCACGTGATTAAACTTAACAGCTTGCTGTCCGAACGCTCCCTGTTGAGGCTAATAGTTCCGTCTTGACCTTGTTACCTGCCTTTCTCCACTAATCTGTTCATGCTCTCACGCATGTGTGCGAGTTGGGGACTGTTTATCAGGAGTTCAGTTCCACTGTGATATTTGATCGTCTCATATTTTGAATTTGTGAATTTGTAGTTCGGACCGTTCCGCATTTCGGGTCTCCCCAATCGCGGTTGTCTTTTGTATGTAATATCTCATACCTCCGATCGATCTCTGTGTTCTACGTACTGAAGGAGTAATGATTGATCCACAGGAGCTGTAGTTCTGTTTTGAGATGTTTGGCACCGTGATAAAAGCAAACGCAGGTTCCACTTGACGAATCCGGAGTTCAACCCTCGAACAGTCAATGAATAAGTCATAACGAAGATCTATGTGACATTAACCCTCACGGGAACGGCTGAGTCAATATGCGCAACCGCACACGACTAGTTGACTGGGTAAACTAATAGTATTGGGACTAGGTTCTAAGCCAGAAGCCTTCCTTGGATTAAAATAAATTGTCAGCAGAAAAGTTGCTTGGGATTAAATCGTTTGTTGTTGCTGTGGTTGGTGGCTATTGTTTGTGATTACGAATATCTGCTGTTCAGTTACAGGACTCGTCAACCTGTGATTGCACTTTGAGTGGTGAAACAGTTTATTTTAGTTTTTCAGTTTTTACAACCATTAACCATGCACTTTCGTGCACCGGTTTTGGTTGCTGTCTTTTGGTCACCCAGTTGGATAAAAGAACGGATTTAAGAATAAATTCAAGCGGAAGACGGAGAAATCATATAGAGTGGTGTTAGTAGACTAATGAGTGAATGAAAGAGTGCAACTGTTTGCGACAACCGGCCATATCACTCAGTGTCTCTAACCATCGGTGACCATCATCTCGGGGGCCCCAGCCAGGGAGCGTAACGGGGCCTATGTGACCTAGTCTCCTGGTTAGGGTTTTCGTACCCTCATGCCAGGTCTTCGTTTGACCATCCTTGACCTTTTTCGAATCGTTACCTGGCGAAACAGACGAGATCTCAATAGCTCATGCTCGTTATAGAGTTGTGGAAACTCACCGCGATTGAGGTTAGGTAGGTTTGGAATCTCAATATACAAATGCCCCGAAGAGTAGATCAACAGCAATGACTTTGACTGCTTAACAACCGCACTCGCGCCAAACTATGACAACTGTAAGTAAATATGTGTTTATCAGAAAGATATTAGAATGGATGAGCTTTTCTGGACTCTTTTCAGATCCACTTCCTCCTATCATTAATCTCGTGTTCCGGGGGTGGGTGAGAAGGGGTTGTCCTAGCGAACCCGTATCGGCAAATCGTTGCTTTCAGTGTTTTCCGATCATGAAATGCGCCACAGAATTCGCTTCATTTGTTGGCATAGTTTTTCGTGCACATCAGTGACTGTTTCCTCTTATCCCCGTCCGATACAGGACAGTACAGTTCCGGTTGTGCTCTACCCGTTGCCAATCCGTTATGAAATTTGACTGTTGTTCTAACTGGAAAAAAATCCAGTTAGTTTTTCCCTAATGGATTTTGACCGAATGAAAACCAACTTGTCAACGCTGTCCTGTCTGTATGTATTTGTCGCGTGCATTGCAATAATCTAATTCAAATCAGTGTGCCAAACTCCCTTCTAGCCTTCTCAGGGAGAAAAGCTTTTATTGGGCAACTTTTCCCGAATCCCGTGATCGAGGAATAGGACTTCAAGTTACCTCGACAATTCGTTTTTTTGTTCTCCCTCTCTCTCTCGTTAAAATTAGATCACAATTGTGAGGTTATATTTATCTTTGTCTGGGAATTTCTCTCACTATCTCTGCCTACGGCATTTCTCCGAGGCACTTGATTTATCTGGCTCACATTGGATTGTCTGGTATGATTAAACTGTTCTTCTGATAAATCGTTTTATTGTGCAATCGAATTTCTTGCTGTCCGTTAATTCACACACGCACACGTTTGTTTTGTTTAATCACCATCGCCAAGTACAATACTTATCTCGTCTGGCCCCGCCTCCCTCCCCACGATCAGTTGTACCGACTCCTCAGTCCAGCCGAAGTGTTGGGAGCTCTCTTGGCCGCACTCTGTCACGATGCGGATCATCCGGGCATGAATCAACTGCATTTAGAACGCACGGGAAATTTTCTGGTCTCATTGTATAATGTAAGTGAATTAGAGCTCGCTGCTTCTAATTACGATCATTATTTACCTTACCATTAGGAATATTATTGTAATTATCACACATCTAAAGACGTTCGTTTTGTTATCTTTGCCTCTGTTGACGTGTTTACTTATCATACCCGTCGGATACACTTGACTGGCTTTTTTCTTATTTTTTTATTCATCCGTTCATCTTCTTGGAACGAACTGAACTAATTATTAATAATATATTAATAATAATAATATATAATAATATATTAACTAATTAATAATTATTATGATTGACTGTGTATGTGTCAGACGCACAATCCTGGCCTCAGTCGTTCAACGTCTAGTCACTCGGGTAGCCCCGGATTTGATTCTCCCTCACATGGCAGCTCAGCCTTGGTGCATATCCACTGACCCATCGTTCTAATCTCAGGTGCGACATAGCGATCAAGGCGTGAGTGCCAACTAGCTCACATGGGAACTGATCCAAGTTGGCGATTCTTTCGAGATACTCGTGATACTTGGTAACTCGACTGCTTCGAGTAGAGGCAGTGCAAGTTCAATCGAATGCTCCTTATGACATCAACACTTACACGTTCGAAAGTTTTGTCCGATCCTTGCTTGCTGTATGGTTAATCGGACGAGCCGATAATTATGGTTGGTTGAGCTGTGCTTTTGGTATTCCCGTGATTCGTGCCCTGATAGCATTCGTCCGTCTGTCCGTTCACCCCTGCGTCATCATCATCATCAGCATCTGAACATCATTCTGAACAGCCTATTCTCACACTCCACCCCCATCCACACACACACACACGTGATTCGGATGTCGAGTAGTAGTTATTTTATTGTGATTGGTTATGGTAATTTGTTCCCTAAAGTATGTTTGTGGCTGACTTCCAGTTGATCTGTGCGCTTGGCCATTAGAAGCTATACGGATCCAATGTGCACGCGTTCATCTCCGCATTGCTTATCAGATCATGGGGCTCGAAAGTGACGGTCGCTTTGTTGTCTACCACTGAACTGTGATGACCTAAGGGGTTAGAGGTGGGGCACTTTTTTGCATGATTCGATTTCTTGAACGAGATCATGCTTGAGGGATGTTTGATCGGTGAATGATTTGCATTTCGAAATTACTATTGCCGTGTGTGTGTTAGTTTGCTCGTGCATCGGAATACTAGTTGTCCGGTCAGCAGCTGATAACTGCCCCCCCCTCCTCCTCCTGTACTGCACGCAGTCAGATAGACGATCACTCGACGATTGGCATTCGGCCTAACCAGCCTACTTGTGATAGCCCAAATTTCGTGTATACGCACACACACACACACATAGATGCATGCGATGTGCACTTCTCCTCCATTGATCTCAATCGCTGAGCATGATCAAATGCTCTCTGCGCGCGTCCATACTACACCCACGCTCTCGCTCTATCTCACACCGACGTGTATTACGTGTTTGCGTGTGCCTCTCGTGTACGTGTCCGCCTGTCTTCCGGTCAGGCAGAAAGAAGGCCACAGATTGGTCGTCACAGAATTAATGTATGATGGATAATCTTTTCAACTGTTTCTCAAGTTCGGTTCATTTCAAATCATTCCGCACGATGGCTTCTTCACAGTATCATCCTTGTCGGCCATGGACTCCATGCGCTTCCCGATCTACACATCTCCCTTCGGGATGTGCACGCGGTTGTCACGACTACTCTCTGTATTCTTCCCATTTCGTTCGTCTCTTTGTTTCTCTACTCGGTACTCGCCCGACACCTATTGGTTCACTGCTGTTCCCCTTTTCCTATTCTCTGCTCTCCTCGCGGGATCATCATCCAACCGACAGAAGAAATCTTGACCCCCTTCCGAATCCGCTTGTTTTTTCCCCAGCTACCTCATCTACTTTATTCTGTCGTGATTTCACTAACCACGAATCGTATCTGTCTCGATACACGCACGCAGTACAGTGCATTTTTCTGTTTGAGTTTGTTTGTTCGACTCTCCAGATGTCGAATGATGTACTACACAGTTGATTAACTTGTCGTTACCCTCACCATGCGATGTTGGTGTTCAAGGTACCTCTGTCTATATGTCTCCGGTCTATATGCACTTC